AATGAGTGGACCTCGAGGGATGTGTGTATGTGGTTGGAATGATAAATCTGGTAGTTTATGATTTTTCTTAGGTGAATAAAATTTTATTTGAAGAAATAGTTTACTTTCATGGATAACCATCCTCCTAAACCCCTTCTCTCCCCAATACTTTGCTAAAAGTAGAGCTGATCTGGTTGGTAGAGGGTTGCTGGAGGGAGGCTCAAATCCTTGCTGACTCTGCCTTGCCTCCAACCCCTGTGATGATACACTGGGACTGTAAATCCGCAGAATATGGTTTAAACGCCATTTGAGTTCAGTCAGGGTTTCATGCATTTCTTACATACTTTTTAGAAATTTGAATACCTGAGGTTGTAGGTATAATAGAAATGTTTCGCCAAAAAAATTTAAGGGCAAACTCCTTACATGTTTTAGGGACTGTTGTATCATGTTTACATATAGTGTTACTTTAGCTCCACTTGTAATTTAAAACTGGCTGGAATTCATAGGAATTGTATTAGAAACCCTCATTTTGCTTTTAAGTGTCACTGATAAACTGCTACCAATATCCATTTCTACATTTTTAAAGTAACAGTGGGTTGAGGAAGGTCTTATACATATGTATACTTTGTACCATGCACCGTTAATCTACTCTGCTAGTGGAATTTGCTTTACTGAACCTTAAATCAAGATGACAAAAGTGAAAATGTGTATGAAAGTCCGTAAGTAGAATTTTGTATAAATTTAGATTGTTTTTTTTTTTTTTGTATCTTACTTGAAGTGATGTCAATAGGAGCTAATTGTTCATGAGATGGTTGAGAGCCTCTTTAAAATATTTGTGAAGGAACTGAATATTTAATATTTTATCTATAAATAACTTTTGTAAGGGGCCTAATATGTCTGGCATATAGTTGACAGTTTAATTCGAAAGGAGCTGATATCATAACTTTTAGTCCATGCAAGTTGTAGAAGGTAAAGCAACATTTGCTGAGTACCTGCTCATTGCACTGGGCAATCTTAAGTGTTTTCTGTATGTCAGTTATTCCTTACTAAGCCATTAGTAGCCAGATGATGATTTCATTTTACAGATGAGACAGTTGAGGCTCATAGATGGTTACTTGCTTAGATCCTGCATTTAGGAAGTAACAGCTTGGGCTCCAGCCCTTCAAAGCTTGTCTGCTTTCTTGATCATGCCACCCATACATGTAAGTTTTCAAAGGTGTCCATGTGTTCCATAATCCTTAAGTTACTAGCTGGTATGGTGAACATTTTTCATTGGATCGGAATAGAAGCAAGACCTGGCAAGCCTACTACCACTCACAGTGCTGGGCTGGCCTGTTCAGATTGTCCTTCAAGTGTGTGGCTTTTAAAGTGACTCTAAAGCTAAAAAGATTGTTGTTTGGTCACTTTTCATGTCACTTTTCTACCCTTTGTTAGCCCCCTTGCCTCAATGATTTTGTTATGACTTGGAGCCCTGATGGCTTTAGGAATTGTTTTTCTTGTCCTCGGTTGGGTTTTTATGACAGTGACTCTCTTTCTAGAGTGACTGTATGTCCTGGATTTTAAAGATTGTCCCAGAATAATTTCCTAGTTTGGAAGATAAATTATATGGTCACCCTAGATAATAGAAAAGAGATGTTGGATTTGGTTATTATAACTAATTATATTTTGATTATATTACCTAAAGGGGGGGGTTAATAGCTGATTCAATTTGGTGTTACCTATTTTCCTCTTTCTAGTTCAAACGCAGCAAATATTTAGGTATACTTCTCTATTTGGATTAATTCTTCAGTTATGATTTAATTCATCCAGGTACATGAAACAGTACCAAAATTGTATTCTAATTTTGTGCAAAACTCAACACTTTCTGAGAAGGAAGCTCTCTCCTTTGGGGGGAGGGGCAGGGGCTTCTGCTCAGTTTCACAGTGAATGCCCTTGTGTTTTGAGATTTGGCAAAATTTGTTATACTGCCCGTCACCACTAGGGGACCACTTTATACATTCCACAAATAGTACTCTTATTATAGAAATATTGTTTTCTTAAAAATGTACTACCAAGGAACCAACCCATATATTTTATTCCTGTACCTATTTTATTACTTGTCTCCTATTTCTTCCTTAACAGGATTTACCTGACTTGTGTAGCAGCTTAGTCCTAGTAATAGAAAAACATAAATTCAAAAGTTTCATTTTAGCTGATGAAAAAATTTTTCCATGTATATTTTTTCTGAAAATGAATTCTGGTTAGTGTTCATTGTATTTTTGTTCTAGAATACTTATTTAAAGGAAAGAGAAAAAATATGCAGAACTTATATTGTATATTTTATTTGGAACCATTTTTAGGAATGCATAATTTATCTCCTAACAGAATAAAGTTCAAGGCTGTGACAATCTGTTCATGACTAGAATGTGAAATTTAGCTGCATTGTATTATAGTATATCTTTCTATAAACTAAATTGACCTATTTTTGGTTTTGTTTGTTTTTCCTTTTCCAGTCTTTACCAGGTGCTGGTCTCTGGATGTTTTTTGTTTAAATTGGAAAAATCTTAAACCTGCCCACAGACTGGTATGGTATCCAGTGAGATGGGGACTGTCAACAGTGGTTTCCAAATGGTCTGAGGAAGCATAGGCAGACAGAATTGAGAAAAGTCAGCCTTGAGCTGGTGTCTGGCCGCTCCCTGCTACCTCTCTTGTGGGCACAGTGTCTTTTTCTCTCTAGCTTACCTGCTGTTCCAGAGAAGTTAGGGGTTAGACCAGTCTGAACTTCGTTCACCAGGGAACAGAATATGGCTCAGAGATTTGACTTGTATAGATGGTATTTGACAAGAAGAACAATGTTACTGATGTTAGCAGTGGTTACCAGTGATTGAAGAAGAAGGTGCTTGTTCTGTTTCTGAGCACTTGGATCTCTGAACAAACAAGCTGCTGGTAGCGTACCTTCCCCACCTCCCTTCCCAGCAGAAACACCGGGGCTTTCATTTGTCCCTTCTTGGGGCACCTGAAAGGGCTGTTCTGCCTGGGGAGTTAGGCTTTTCTGTGTAAGTTGAAAGAAGTGGCTTCGATGATGAGTGGCAGGGAGCTTTGTCCAAGGCAGGATTTCACAACTACCCACAGCTATTTTCTTTGTAATTAAGGACCTGCAGCTTATACTGAAACATTAAAGGCACCCTTTAGGTAGTTAGTGTTTTTTAGTCATCTGATACTTTATTAAAAATTTAGGTGATCCTTCTGGATAATGTCTAAGTGTTTCTTTAGGAAGTTTTTGGGGTGGGGAAAGTGGTCACAGAAATATGACCAGCTTTGAAGATTTGGCAAGTCTGAAGTGATACAAATCCCAACTGTTAGTGTATTTGATGCTTTCGTGTGTGGGAGTTTTATTCATGTCAGTCATTGACACTGGCTCTTAGGAAGGATAGTAATCGTTTTCTTAGTGTAATTATTATAGTGCTGTATGCTTAAAAAAGGCATAAAGATGGGTTTAAGACATTTCCAACTAGGCAGCCTTATGAATTAGACCTAATAACCTAATTCAGTAGAATGTTTATCTTTGGCCATTATTTCCAGCTCCTTTCCTGGTCAGTGAGAGGTGTGTTTTTAAAAGTTTTTTTAATACCGTGGTCTATTTTGAACAGTTTTGGAAAGCAGTGGCTTTAGTATCATTTATAGGTCTTAAGTTTGCTACTGATTTTTAAAGGAAAATGCGTAGATTCATCAAAAAGCATCTACTTAGTCAAGTATAGAAAAACACTTCACTTTGAGGTTGGTTTATCGCAAAAGGAAAACTCACATTAGAAGTCGATGTGTGGCAGGCATAGGATGAATAACAAAATGTTCTTCAAATTGATCTCTTAGCTACAATTATAATTAACTTTGTAGATTTAGAATTTGTCTCTTTTTCAGGAGAAAACCATCAGATTCATAAACTTGATTTAAATGTCTGTTTTGCAGAGTGATTTTTTTTTTCCCTTAATCCAGGACTGAAAAATGTCTGACTGACTTAATTGAAGATAACTTGTTATCTAATGGTTGATAAATGTTTGTTTCATTGAGGTTTGGAAGAGCTAATACATTATTTTTCAGTCTTTCAGAAATTTTGTTCTCCTCCTCCCTATTCTTGCTTTCTGTACCCTTCAATAAGAAAGCATTATTAAAAGGAAAACTACTCAACAAAATCAAACTTTGTGTCACTGTGCCTTTATCCTCTCAGAGAATCTCTTAGAATTACTGCCTGATGAAAAGGAAGGGAAGGAAATTACCTTTTTGAACATTTTTCAGAAATCTTCTGATGTCTTCTAGCTAGGAGAAATAATAAAATGTTAGGGTTTTATAAGGTGTATGTTCCTAGTTTTTTGTGTGTTTTTTTGTCTGGAATGTCTTGTTTCCCTCTAGGGCAGGAGTCATTTCACAATTTCTACGTTACTGTATAACTACCACATACACATTTGTGGTAGGAATTTAGGAAAATTTTACAGTAATAAATTTGCATAGACTAAGTGATACTTGATTTTGTCTTTGGGGGGTAGATGATAACACTGAGTTGAGTCTACCTGCCTGTTCCATACAGTACCCTAACTGGCTATAGAGTGCATTATTCAGGAGTCATAGCATTTGAAGATTCATTCTGGTGCCCTTATGAATAATTAGTGTTTTTTCCCCGCCCTTTTCCCTTAAGGTGCTTTAATATCTTGGTGTCTGTTCCAATCTGAGACGACCACAGCAAGACAAAAAAAGGGCAATGTCATGGTACACAGTTCTTAGTTGCTAGAGAAGTTAGGTCACTTAGTTTATGAGGTCAATGAATTTTTGTTCTTAGCTCAAAATGATAAATATTCTCATGACTTTAAGTACCCGATGTGCTAGTTTAGATTGCTCTTTCCTGTGGAACTGAAGTATATTAAAAAATTTTTTTTCTTTTTATAAAGAATGTCTTATTGCGCCGTTTTTGCTAGACTGAAAGTTTCCTCATCACTTGGTGAGACCCTCCTCTAATTCAATCTTTGTCTTTTGTCTTTGCTGCCTTGCAGGGTTGGTACAGTAGGCTTCACTAACTTAGCTGCAACTCAGAATTTCTCCTCCAGCACCTGAGTAAATGCTGATGGTCTTGTGGAGAGTGGATTAAGAGTACGAGCTAAGTTCTCAATCCCAATTAAGAAGCGGAGGAAAATTTAAACTGTCTCCTTCAAAGTTTATCACAACCACCACCATCAAGACAGCAAACCAAAGGACAAAGACTTTGACCTGCTGTGTTGCTCTGTGTAGTCCAGTTCACGTATGGTTTACAGACTTGTCTGGGGTTACTAATGAGTAAATAAAAAGTCGGACACTTCTGTCATTGGACACTTTTATTCACAAAGTTACCAGAATGAGGGCTGTACTGGAGACAGCAGACATTGCCATAGTGGCCCTGTATTTTATCCTGGTCATGTGCATTGGTTTTTTTGCCATGTGGAAATCTAATAGAAGCACCGTGAGTGGATACTTCCTGGCGGGGCGCTCTATGACCTGGGTAGCAATTGGTGCCTCTCTGTTTGTGAGCAATATTGGGAGTGAGCACTTCATTGGGCTGGCAGGATCTGGAGCTGCAAGTGGATTTGCAGTGGGCGCATGGGAATTCAATGCCTTACTGCTTTTGCAACTTCTGGGATGGGTTTTCATCCCGATTTACATCCGGTCAGGGGTATACACCATGCCTGAATACTTGTCCAAGCGATTTGGTGGCCATAGGATTCAGGTCTATTTCGCAGCCTTGTCTCTGATTCTCTATATCTTCACCAAGCTCTCAGTGGATCTGTATTCGGGTGCCCTCTTTATCCAGGAGTCTTTGGGTTGGAACCTCTATGTGTCTGTCATCCTGCTCATTGGCATGACTGCTTTGCTGACTGTCACCGGAGGCCTTGTTGCAGTGATCTACACAGACACTCTCCAGGCTCTGCTTATGATCGTTGGGGCACTCACACTTATGATTATTAGCATGATGGAGATTGGCGGGTTTGAGGAAGTTAAGAGAAGGTACATGTTGGCCTCACCCAATGTTACTTCCATCTTGTTGACATACAACCTTTCCAACACAAATTCTTGTCATGTCCACCCTAAGAAAGATGCACTGAAAATGTTGCGGAATCCAACAGATGAAGATGTTCCTTGGCCTGGATTCGTTCTTGGGCAGACCCCAGCTTCAGTATGGTACTGGTGTGCTGACCAAGTCATCGTGCAGAGAGTCTTAGCAGCTAAAAACATTGCTCATGCCAAAGGGTCTACTCTTATGGCTGGCTTCTTGAAGCTTCTGCCAATGTTTATCATAGTTGTCCCAGGAATGATTTCCAGAATACTGTTTGCTGATGATATAGCTTGCATCAACCCAGAGCACTGCATGCAAGTATGTGGAAGCAGAGCTGGGTGCTCTAATATTGCTTACCCACGCCTGGTGATGAAGCTGGTTCCCGTGGGCCTCCGTGGCTTAATGATGGCAGTGATGATTGCAGCTCTGATGAGCGACTTGGACTCTATCTTTAACAGTGCCAGTACCATATTCACCCTCGATGTGTACAAACTCATCCGCAGGAGCGCAAGCTCCAGGGAACTAATGATTGTGGGGAGGATATTTGTGGCTTTTATGGTGGTGATCAGCATTGCATGGGTGCCAATCATCGTGGAGATGCAAGGAGGCCAGATGTACCTTTACATTCAGGAGGTAGCAGATTACCTGACACCCCCAGTTGCGGCCCTGTTCCTTCTGGCAATTTTCTGGAAGCGCTGCAATGAGCAAGGGGCTTTCTATGGTGGAATGGCTGGCTTTGTTCTTGGAGCAGTCCGTTTGACACTGGCCTTTGCATACCGTGCCCCAGAATGTGACCAACCTGATAACAGGCCAGGCTTCATCAAAGACATCCATTACATGTATGTGGCCACAGCATTGTTTTGGGTCACAGGACTCATTACTGTAATTGTTAGCCTTCTCACACCACCTCCCACAAAGGAACAGATTCGTACCACCACCTTTTGGTCTAAGAAGAGCCTGGTGGTGAAGGAAAGCTGCTCCCCGAAAGATGAACCATACAAAATGCAAGAGAAGAGCATTCTGAGGTGCAGTGAGAACAGTGAGGCCATCAACCACATCATTCCCAATGGGAAATCTGAAGATAGTATCAAGGGCCTTCAGCCGGAAGATGTTAATCTCTTGGTGACCTGCAGAGAAGAGGGCAATCCGGTGGCTTCGTTAGGTCATTCAGAGGCAGAAACACCAGTAGATGCTTATTCCAATGGGCAAGCAGCTCTTATGGGTGAGAAAGAGAGAAAGAAGGAAACAGAGGATGGAGGCCGATACTGGAAGTTCATAGATTGGTTCTGTGGCTTTAAAAGTAAGAGCCTCAGCAAGAGGAGTCTCAGAGACCTGATGGAGGAGGAGGCTGTTTGTTTACAAATGTTGGAAGAGCCTCCACAAGTTAAACTAATATTAAATATCGGACTTTTTGCTGTGTGTTCACTTGGAATTTTCATGTTTGTTTATTTCTCCTTATGAACTTTTTAAGGATATGATGAGACACTAACTTAAGAAAATACTGGTCTTTGGAAAAAAAACAAAAACAAAACTTATGTAACTGTTGCATCTCTCAGGCATTGTTTACGCTATAGGTTTTAGCCAAATTTTACTTAGCAGAAAATCATCTATTTGCAAGACTTTATTTTCCCAGAGATGGATGAAAGTAAATTTTCAACCTAAATGAAGTAAAACTTGTTTAACAGACTGAATTGTGCAAATGTGGTTTAAAATTTTCCATACCAAAGTAAGGAGAGACCAATTATTCTCATAGAACATGTAGAGCAGAATATATGCTAAGATTATTACAAATAAAGTATACTGTGTGCACTGCCAAATCTTGGTAGGCCTTCTTATCCTGAAGTAGAGGACTTGCTCATTTCAGAGTTTTTTTTTTCTGTCTCTGTAATCCCTACTACCATTTAAAACAATTCGTGGACATTGTATAATCAGTTGTGTACTGAAAACCTAACTGATGTGCTTGTGGGGTCCTTGTATCAGGACAGGTTAGTTTGTTTGCCAGGTTCATTTTGCTAGCATGAGCCTGTGGATTCTGATTGCCAAAAGAAAGGAAGAGTGTTTACCTGTAGCTGTTCTGGTACCACCAACATATGGAATGTTGGTAAAAAGTTTGTTTCAGTTCCTTTTTTTTTTCTTTTTTTTCCTACCTTGACCGAAGTTTAAGTGAACCATACTCAAATGACCACCAACTCTGTCTTGATAAAAAGTTATGTCGTGATTGTATTGTCACATGATTAGGGGAGAAAATGAAGTAAACATTGCTGATGATCCCCAAATTGATTGACCAAGTTAAGGTTGTTTATATAGTTTGGGAATTAGCAGTCCTCAAGCAGTGTTTGGTCAGCTTATGCTAAACAGGCGACTACTCATACTGCATTAATTCTCTAGCTTTGTTCTTTGTTCTTGCATTTGGTAACTTTTTTATTAGCCACACACTTTTCCAAGTGGATTCAGTTGGAAGATATGTCCAGAAATTTGAAGAAAATTGTCACTGCCTTTGTGCTGGGTTGCCCTGCTTGATTAGATCATGATATATTGAAGTTGAGCTTTTGGAGGGAAAATAATCCTGAGATCATATTTTATTCTTGATAAGTTTGTTTTCCTGATTTATTTTTTTATTTTTTTATTTTTTGGAAAGACTTGCCATCTGTACACGGCCTCTACATTTTTAAAAAGTTACATTGACTTAGAGCATGAGGAGGTTCCAGTGCAAACTCGGCATCAGTAACAGAAAACTGAGTGCATGCTTTGCCATTGGTAGATTGTCAGTATAGTCTTTCTGTAGAGTGGATAGCATGTTAAAGAGGTGTCATGAATAAGAACTTCCGGGTTTAGTAGTATGTCTTGTGGAGGGTATCCTACGACTTGTGTACTTATAGGATCCTCTATCTTCACACGGCTTGGCACTCCGTTGTAACCTTCGTGGATAGGAATCTTTTTCACAGGCTGATTCCCCTTCTTGAGGACAGGATACAAAAGACATTAGAGAAAAGCTCTACAGATTACGAGGTTCTGTGTCTGTGTGCTCAACATGGTCCTTTTTCCTCCATGACATATGAAGGAAACTAATTGTGTATCTACTTTCTTTGACTTTCCTGTAATCTATGGTACTTTTTAAATTGCATGATTTTATGAAGCTTGTATTCTTTAGGGAAGAGTATTACTTTTTTAGATACTTTTGTAGATTTTTGAATCAAAACTCAGTCCTAATGACTTTAAATTTTTTGTATTCTATAAACGAGTTTCATTATGATGGACTTGATTAGTCCGAAGTTGATTTTAGAAATTATCAGGTAGCATAATGTCTTCCCATCTCCAGGAGGCTTTCTGATGGACTGAGTCTGTAGATGAAAAAATAATTCATGTATGAATAGCATGATTTCTGAGAGCTTAGAGTGCCTTGTAGAGTTTTTTCTCAATTTCATTCTTACAGTTTATAAGCTGGGGGCCAAATAAATAGGGACCATCCTTTTCTTGTTTGGCGGAGGCTGTGGCTCTGTTATGTCCAAGGTTACAAAAAGTCTATTGGGAAGAACAGAAAAACCATGTATGCAAAGCTGGACTCATGGTTTGTCCTCTTCTCAAAGGAACTATTTTTCCTTTGAGACAACCTTTTGGTGTTTCGGAAAATAATAGGACCTTAGATTTTTTAAATTGGCATTAAGTCATAGGAATTAAAATTTTCTTTGACTTTGAGCACATTGCTGTGTAACTCAGCAAAGAGGATTGACACAGTGGCTGGGCAGCCTTCTTACCCCTTCTTCTTACAGCATAAATTAATAGGTGGTGTTTATGTGAGTTTTTTTCCCCTTTATTTAATGTTGAGCCCTAATAGTTTGAAATATTAGGATCCCACCCCCCCCCACCTTCTCTTTGCTGCTGTCTTAGTATGATACATGAAATACATCACCTTGTGTCTGTTTGTGTATATATAGTGGTAGGTCAAGTTTAGAGTACTAATGTCTGTAAATAAGGAATGACTATTAGTATATCCATTAGGATGTTTATTCTCGCCAGTATAATCACATCACTCTGTTGAGACTGAAGTCCCTGAAGCTTGCCCTTCTTACTGCTTTCCAGTAGTAGGTAATGTGCTTGAATAAGTATGTGAATTGCTGATTGCAGCTTCATTCAGGGGACCACTGTTCAATATGTTTCGTTAGAATGATTGTTCATGGAGTGATACCTGGTCTGTGTTAAGCTAGCAAAATGTTCATACTTTACACTAAATGGGTCCTAAATGATGACATTTCATCTGTAGACATTAATATGTATATATTTTTATATTGGCTCAAGCTAAGGTTCAGAATTGAATAAGAGTGATATTGACTAAAATAGTTACCCAAGAGTCAAAATGAAGTGAGGACACTGGTTCTTCAAAGGTAGAGAAAAATACTGTCTGATCTGCTGTTAGTGGTATCCCCAGTTCTTAGATTTTTTATCCTTTCAAGCAATCTCAGTCCTAAGATCTGATGAGCAGAGCTTATTACTCTGGCACGCAGAAGAATTATTAGCTCCAAAAATATTATGTCCTTTTGCTCCAAGATAGTAAGTGGCTTTTGAAATAGCTGAGCCGATCTTTTTCCACAGCCATTCTCTTCCTGGTGAGGTTATCACTCTTATCTTTAGGTTAGGGAAGCATCAAGCAATAGTGGTGGTACTGTGTCCTTTGGCCTATTTTCAGCAGATCTCTCGCGAGGCTTCCTTTTCAGTTGGCTCAAAGGATTCATTGTCTTTTTGCACAAAGAGTCTGGCCAGGATCATAGTTCTTAGCACATTCAAGTAATTAGCAGAGACCTATCACATGTGAAACTTAACATTTTAAGAATTGATTGGGAGGTTGTCACTCAGTTCTTTAACCCGAGGCTAATTGGGAGTGGGGGGACTGAAAAGTCTTTTCCAGGGCACTGAGAGTCTCTTAAGTGTCTCCATTTCTCAGTCCATTGCTTTTTCTTCCCTATACTTAGAGGGTGCATGGATCTTCCCCTCTCTATTCAAATATCATTCAGTGCAGCCTGTGGGTTGTTCTCATTCTTTACCATCCTACAGACTGGCTATATCATTAACTCTTAAAAGGTTAGACCCATCAATGTTCCCACTTGGCAGTATTTGGCTTACTTACTTCCCTTATAGTTTTTACTCCGCTGTGTTGTTTTCATCTGTGGTATGATGGCTGGAAAGGACCACATGGGTATGGAGTAGTGAGTGACACCTCACCATCACTCCCCAGTTTTGTACTGAGCGATGTATGTAGACCATTCCTGTTACATTATGTGACCACAGAGACTTGCCAGGGCATAATTTTCCTGTCAGAAAAACTATTAGATGCTGAGAAATACCTGGGTGATACAAACTTAACAAGTTAGGCAGAGGACAAACATTAGCTTAAAATGTGCAGATGGAGAATTCTGTTCAGTGAATTCTAGAACTTGAAGCATCTTGGCTGTCGGCTAGTTTAAACCTTTCCCCTATAGATTAGGATACCAGTGAATAAGATCCAGCCAGTTAAACCCTGGTTTGATGTTAAATATTGTGAAATAGGAGTTTTTAAAACATATTTGAGGTTAAAAGGACTGATATTTGATAGTGATACTTTAGTAGAAAAAAATGCTTTTAGGCGTGTATCCATAAGATTTCTCATTAACGAAGTGTTAAATTGCATTAAGACATTTTGATGTTGACATTGGCTTGAGCAGACTTTACAAATAGGGTATATTCCTATTTGTGGTATACCCACCTACCACTCAGAGAGGCTGGTCTTTGCCTCTATTTGTCTTCCCTCACATTGCTTTAATTATTCACCTGTTCTTTTAATGCTTCTCAAATTCCTATTTTGATCTTTTATCAGCTTAATTCATGTTCAGGCTTATTGCTATGATGTGCAAAAGTGCTACTTTGCCCCACTTTTGAAGACTTGGATCCAAATAATGATTCATTATATATATAAAACATAGTTGTGTTTAAATATACTAAATTTCTATTAGCTTAAACTGTTAACTTCTCAAGAATGATTTTCTCAGACTAATGTTCACTAGTGTTCACTAATAATAAGAGCCCTAGTAATTCATCATTATTCTATTCCGAAAACTCTTTTCTTCAAAAATTAGGGAGGCAGCAATAGTTAAAATTCATACCAGTCCCTTTGAGATGGCGGTGTCACAATACAGAGAGGAATGGAGTTTGTTTTGATGCCAAAAAGCCTTGTTCTTGCAGTACTTGAGGGTAAAAAGTTGGAACTAGTCAGTTGGCATATAGAGAAGCCCTTTTGTACTAGTTAGGTATGAAGCTGAATTAAATAAGAAGCTTTGATTACTACACTTGGTTAGACTTGGTTGGCTTAACTCAGGGCTGCAAACCCCTTTTCCTCCATTAAGTCATTTCTCTTAATTTGGTACGCTTTTTATCAAACTCTCCCCCTCTGTTGGAAGACTAGGTATTCAACTTCTTTCACTCCTAGAATTGAATTTAGCTAAGGTTTAAACTGCTTACAGGCTTTGCCAGCACTGAATCCCACACCATTGTTCACGGAGTCCTATAAATGTGCTTATTTAAACTTCTTTCCAGTGCTGGGAATAAGACTTTAAACTACTGATTCACCTTTAAAGGAATGTTGTGAAAATTGATATAATTTATGTTTCTGTTATCCATCTCAAATCCTTTATATAAAAGATAGGATTTAGTTTTTT